CCGTAAGGACATGCAACACGCGCCGCTCATTCCTGTCTTCTTCGGACACCATCTCTTGCTCTAACTTGGTCAAATCGATTTCACTCACGGATATCACTTCTGGGGCCAAGCGGAAGGCGCGCCAGAAGTCCACCCCAAGGTAAATCTTTTGCTCTAGGTATGGGCATAAAAAAAATGTAATGTTTTTTTCTACGTTTTTGTATTTCACAGGTATGGTAAGCTTGCCTAGTATATTGTGCGTGCGACCGCCCGCAGTTTTTACAGACGAAAAGTACTTTTCAATCGGTGCGCCTATCTCTTCCACGAACTCGCGGCAGCCTTGGCCCAGAATGCTTACGGACGCCCCAGTGTCTAACAGGCCTCTTGTCGATAACCCCTTTATCTCTATGTCCGCGTAAACGCGCGGATCCTGTTGATCGGCGTGTTTAACCGACGCTACAACTTTTTGCCGCAGTGTTTTCCGCTGTCGGAATTTCTCCCGGGCCTTTTGTATTCTTCGCGACACTATTCGGCGCCCCATTAGCGCACTATCGGCGAAAATTCGTTGGCGTGTTTCGAGATATTTCCTCAGTCTTTCCTCGTAAGGTGGCATACTTCCATTTTTTGTGACTACTTTATTTCTTTTTGTTGTCATTATTTCAAAAATGTGACTTTCCGTTTTGGTTTCAGCTGAGTTTGCACCACGACCCAACTCCTCGTCTGGTTCTGTATTCGTTGAGGCATCTACTCGTGCGGGGTCTGTGTGGAGCGCGATTCCCCCGTCGTAATAGCGTTCCGCACTGCGTTTCCCGCTGGATTGCAAGATGGACACTTAGGTGTTATGACGTCCGACTTTCCGCATTTAAAACAAAAAATTCGACGTTGTAGCGACATACATTCGGTGAAAACGTGGCCTTCAGCACCACAATTCCAGCACGAAAAATGTCTACGGCCAGCTGGCTGTTTAGCTGAGCGTTGATGGCGTATTTCCTCCACGGTGACTTGACCCTCATCACCGGGAGTAAACCGCTCTTCATCTTCGATGGAGCTAATCTCGTTAACCTGTTGTGCGCGTTGTCCGAAGCCACTTGACAGCATGCGTTCTCGGCGCGAAAAACAACGTTCCACTTCTTTGCATTCTAGCCTTAGCTGTTCGAGTGAGTATGCGGAAATCGGGTAGACTATTTTGGCAAGAGATTCGCGTAAGTTGCCCTTTACTAATCTTATTATTTCGTATTCAGGGATCGGGTTCCTGAGACGCGAGCGCAGTGTACCTACCACATGGAAATATTCGTCGATAGCTTCACCTGGTCTTTGTTTTCGCTCCGTCAACTCCCTCAGGATTTCGAAATCGGTGCGTTGCGATGCGAACTGGCGCTTTAGCGCAAACTGTAGACTTGGCCAGTCGACCTTACCGTGAGATCGAAT